CTCTGTCAAATAAATAAATAAATCTTTTAAAAAATGAAAGAATAAAGTGAGTGTTAAGAGATAACATCTAGAGACATCAGGAATGTCCTGTTAAGTAGTACAGTTTTATTTCTAGGAGTCATTGAGCCAGGTCTGCCATAGACCTGTTCCATTTAGACATGGTAGACCTCTGTTTATGATGACAGTCTTGGTCTTTGGGACTGCTGGATTACACTGATGTACTTTTAAGCAAGGCTTTTGCTCTCAGGGTTCTTCGCTGTGTTACCAAGGTACTTCATTAGTTGAGGCTTTTGTGCTAATACGACTTCAGTTCAAGGGATGAACCCTTTATCTGTTGTTTTCTTCTGAGAATCACAGCCATACTCTCATTAGCCAAAATAGCAACTGTATGGACAAAGGCAACTTCTTCTTACTCTGTATTCTTACTGTTCTAACTGTTGTAATATACAGGAAAGTTACTTCTTTATATGAAGATGTAGAGGGTACGTGACATTTCAGAAATTTTTATAGTTATATCCTAAACAAAATATCTTAAACAAAATTTATTTTGTTGTTCTGCACCAAAGGTGGTTCTGGTACCTCTACTGTTTGTTTGGTTTAGATGTAGAGTGCTTTTCTAAAGCCTAGAAAGGAAAACCAGCTGTTATTACCATATGGTACAACTAGATCTTCAAAGCAGTGAAGCTAGAGAATTGGAATCTGTTTGGTATGTTTTTTCAAATTACTGTCATTTGTTAACTGATTTTGCCCTCCTATAATTTCACTCCATTCTTTACATCTTTACTATAGTGCCACTGAGGAAAACAAGAAAGAATTGCAGTAGAAATACTATAATCAAGATGAGAGACAAAATACTGTTGATCAGTAGAATCAGTATAGTGGTTAAATCTAAGAGTAGAAATACATTCCGAGTGCACGTAATGTTCTTTATACAGAGTATCTTCCTTGCCAAAGAAAATCTAAAGTTTATCTTTGATGACAGTGTGGTATATAGTAATAATAACAATAATAATAAAAATAAAATTAAACTTACTGAAAGAAACATACTCAAAGGAGACAGAGGTTAGCCTTATTCTTGAAAGTGGCTTAACCATTAAAAAGGAAATTTCTTATGGTGGTATTATAAAATTTTTAGTGAAAATTAAATAAGGTTATATTTTTATCTATTTTATTTGCATTTGTTCAGATTTTAAAAGATGACTTGTTTGCGGAGACTGATAATACATTAAGACTACTACAGCACTCAGCATGTATTAACTTGACTTTTTAAATCACATGCTTGAGATGCATTTGTGTTAATGGTAGAGCAAGATGCAGCAACCAAATACTGGAGTTCTAGTCCTAATTCTAGTCTTGTAACCTTGAGTCATACCCTTTGATAAAAATATTTATCATACCTCCTTTGCAGCTTTACTCTGAGGATAAGATATAGTAACATAGGTAAAAATGCTGTGAAAATCATTTACCTGTATACATTTGGGAAGAATGTTACAATCTCATTATCACCACAGTGTCACTATCTCAATTGGTTCTCTTGGAGCTTTTATCACTAAGAAGGATATTTCTGGTCACAAAATTTTATTTTATACTCCAGCTCTTTTGAATACAATGATTTTTAAAATCTACTTATTTATTTTTATTACGGCAAAGTAACGTGATTCATAGATTGTGACAGACTTGAATTCAATCTGGCTTCTTTCTACCATTTACCTGCCTTTCAGGCTCACTATTGTTCCATTCCCTCTTCTGTTGATACATGTTTTAGATGCAAATTAATGTTAATAAAAGCAGTGCATTTGGGGGATATGATCTAAGTTTGATTTTTTGTTTTACTATCTATACTGCTACTTGACTGTGCATGGATAATTGAGAACTGATTTTATATGTAGTTTAGTCCAATTTAAATCAGTACAGAGACTGTTTTGTACATGTGAGGTGATTTTCTTATGCTGTCAGTATCAGTGTTGGAAGGGACCTACTTCAGGTGTTTTTAAATTCTTTCTGTTATAACTTCCTTTTAGGGTTCCTAGGTGCTTAAACATTTTAAGTGATGTAAAACTATTTTTGCGGGGGTAGGGAGTGTAGGATAGATTGTTCTTATACTGAGTTTAAATGTCTTTCTGAAGCTTATACTCCCCTTTTTTGCATATAGAATATACTCTTGCTTATAATGGTTATAGGGTATAACAGTTTTGCTGAATAATAAATCTTGGATGATAAATATACTAAGCCCTTGGACATTTAGTGTTTTAGTCTGTTTAGTAAAGATGCTCTTTTTCAGATAGTATTTGTACAGTGAGTTAAAAGTATATATAATGATAAGTTAATGATTTTTCAAAATATTGTGATCCTTTAAAAAGTAATGTGTTTATTTATACCTGCATATATGATCAAGAATTTCCTGTCTGTTAGTTAGCAAAAGAAATTTTATGAAAAGACGGGATGTGCAGTAAGAATTCAGGCAGGATTCCTGTTTGTTTAGGGTAGTCTATTTTTAACTTTGCAGAATTCCCATTTAGAAGATATGTTTGACTTTTTGATTACTTGTGCCAGGAGATGGAAAACATAAGGCTCTAAGGATCCTTTTCCTAGTCTAGAGTCCTTGTCACAGCACCTGGGACATTTTAGGAGTTTTTTGGTGAGAGTTTTAGGCAAGTAGAAAATGAATACAGCCTCAAAATAAAAGAGTACCAAGATTGACATGAAGTTAAAAGGAAAATAGAAAATAGAAAAATTTGAAAAAGGGACAGAACTTTCTGAAGCTAATGAGTATACCCTGTTGACCCTTATTTACTTGAAAAATGAATTTTTTTCCTTTAAGATAAACTTTATTGAAGTATAATTTATATTTTTTTTAGTATATGTGCTGCTGAAGTGAGCACAAAGTATAATTTACATAAAATAATATACAGTTGGCTCTTGAACAATGCCCCAAGTTAGGGGCACCAACCCCTTGATGTAGTCAAAAATCTATGTACAACTTTTGACTCCTCCAAAACTCAACTACTGCTGTGGACTGGAGGCCTTATTGATTATATAAACAGTTGATGAACACATACTTTGTATGTCTTATGTATTATATACTGTATTCTTAAATAAGCAAGAGAAAAAATGTTATTAAGAAAACAGTACTGCACTGTATTTATGGGGAAAAAAATCCATGGGTAAGTGGACCCATGCACTTCAGATCTGTGTTATTGAAAGGTCAACTGTACTCATATCAAGTGTGTAGTATGAGTTAGGTTTTGACAAATGTATATATTTGTGTAACTGCCATTCAAATCAAGATATAGAACATGTCCCTTATAGCAAAAAAGTTCCTTCATCCCCCTTTGCTCTTTGTCTCTCTTCATCCCAGGCAACCACCGATCTGCTTTCTGTCACTGTAGATAGGTTATTGCCTATTCTAGAATTACATATCTATGGAATTATACTATATATATTCTTTTGTGTCTTCACAGAAGTACATATTTTTAGTAGTTTGACATTTTTTATTGCTGAGTAGTTTGCCATTGTATGAATAAGCCACGGTCTTTTTCTCTCTACTTGTTGATATTGACTGAAAAACTGATTTCCAGTTTTTGTATATTTTGAATGAAATTGCAATGGACATTTGTGTCCAATTTGTTTTGGTGGACTTATGTTTTATGTTTTCATTTCTCTTGGGGTAGAATTATGGGTTTTTATATGTTTAACTTTAAAAAAACTGTCAGTTTTCCAAAGTGCACCATTTTATACTCTACCAGCAATGTGTGACAGTTCAGTTACTGTACATCCTACTAACATTTGGGGGTTGCTAATTGAACACTTAGGTTCAGATTCATTGAGGAGAAATTGTGCTGTGTGCAGACTTTTATGACAATTATAAAAGAGACTTGATCTACTTTTAAGAGTTTAGTAATGATAGCTAATTAGTTGCCATTTATTTGGCAGCTCCTCTGTGCCAGGTGCTGTGTTAATGACTTTACATGCGTTATAAGCTGTCATTCTTACAAGACAGAATGTATAGTCTTTATTTAACAGATCGGAATCCTGGGCTATTAGATTTTAGGTGTAAGATTTGATTCATAGTTTGATTCTTATTTAGAATAGTTAGATTCTTTATTTAATTTCATCTCAATATTTTGGTTTTTCTCTTTCCCTTATAGAGGACCATTGAGAATGAGTATGATTTCAGCTAATATCATGTTCTTTTGGGTTCTCTCTCTCTTTTTTTTATTTTTTAATATTTTTATTTATTTTGACAGAGAGAGAGAGAGACAATGAGAGAGCGAACACAAGTAGGGGAGTGGGAGTGGGAGAAGCAGGCTTCCTGTCGAGCAGGGAGCCTGATGTGGGGCTCAATCCTAGGACCCTGGTATCATGACCTGAGCCGAAGGCAGACGCTTAATGACTGACCCACCCAGGTGCCCGGTCTTTGGCTTCTCAAATTGAGGATGGTCTAATGATAATTAGAAGAATTAGAAGCCCTAGGGAAAACATACAGGAGTTGAAAGGGGATGTGTGTGTATGTATACGTAAAAGAGCATGCATACTTGCTTTTCTGAAGGAGAGTCATTAATATAGGTGCCACTTTTTAAATGTATTGTTTAAGTTGTGTAAAGTAGGGGAAAATGGCAAAGCTGCAGAATTACTAAAGAGGGAAGACAGGTAGTGGTGAATAATAGTAATTGGGTCAAGAAGCTTGTTTTTATGTCCAAGCAACTTAGTTGCTGTTGGAATTGACTTGTTTTACCCCATATAGGAATCAGCCTATAAGCATTTAATTTTTAATATATCTTAGACAGTTACTGTTTAATTACATATAACTTAGATTTGTATCACAGCTACTAGGTTGAATTTTGGAGCAAAATTTTTATAAGAAAAATCTTGTAAAGTGTATTTCCAAGTAGACAAATGGTGTGAAACAGTTTATATTTTGCAGACTTTTTAATAAAAAAAAAATTTAAAATTGGGATCCTTTTAATTTCATTTTTTCCCTTTTCCACCCTGTTTTGCAGACATTTCAACCTACGAATGAAGAGGGATACATCCCTTTTCAGTGATGAATTTAAACTAGAAACATCAAATGAAGTACTTGATTATGATACCTCTCATATTTACACTGGACATATTTATGGTAAGTTGAATCTTAGAAGAATTCTTTTCTTTAGTTTTTTTCTACACAAAGAAACACATGTATTTTGAGCTATATGCATATATTTCAGAGAGGTGGGATAAATCCTGAGGAGATTTAAATATATCATGAAGGATAACAGTCTTTGAAGAATAAAGTAACCCTTGGACCGATCTCTATATGTATATATATATGTATATTTAATATTGGATTATGCAGTGCCTGGCTTTTGAAAGATACGTAGTTTTGATTCTCTCAGTACCTACAAACTGTTAGATTTTTTAAAAAGTTTTTAATTAATTTTCTGATCTTTCAAGCAAAACATTAGCTGTGTTTTATAAGAAGAGAGAAGAAACTTAAAGGGTAACTATAAAGATCATCTTAACAGCCAAAAATAATGTGACAAAGTCATTCATAAAAAATCCTTGCAGGGCCTTCCTGCCTCAGAATCTATTTGTTGTGTTCACAATTCTAACAAATTTCCCTTACTACAACTGATTAAGAAGGGACTGGGGGGATGGGGAGCACACTTAACCCAAGAGAAAGTTACATTTGACAGTTTAGTAGTGTGGAAAGAACAGTCAAAATCTTCTGGAGGTACTAGAGAGGGTCAAAATATTGTTATAACTGTATGTTAATAAATACTGAAGATGATTCTGTTATTAAGACAAAGTTAACTGAAAGTTAAATTTCATTTCTACATATTAGAGAGATTTCCACTCAAAATCATAACATTATGGAAAATTGTTTAAAAATGTTTGTAATTTTTTATTATGCCAGATAAATGAGGCATTCCTATACTTAGAATTTCTTACTTGTAGATGAAACTTCGTTAATAAATAAAAAGTTTTCTGTACTCTTGTAGTTCTGTAAACAAAGGAAAGTGTTTTTCCGTCAGTCTAGACCTTTAATATTGAACCATTATTCCTTTCATCATTTCTCTTTTTGGGCAAATAACTTTGTAGTGTCTGCCCTTCTTTGCTAGGTGATGGTCAAGAAAAGTACAAGACTAAATGAGTTTGCAGATAGAAATCATGTCATTTAAAATACCAGTGTCTTGGGTTCTTAGCATCAGTCCTTAGTTAATTCAGTCAATTAATTAATGTTAATTTATAATTTAGAAATTGTGGAAAGCCTGATACTTATTTTAATGAGAAAATTTTAACAGGTAAATTTAACTTTTAACATACCATCCTCCTACTTTCCACTTTTTTATGTCATTTGAAGGTTGACGCTCAGCTTTTCTTCGTGAATATCTCAAAATACCCTTTTTTTCCTGTATTTTCTTTCACTAGGGAAGTATAATTGTTGGGACAGTATTACAAATCCAATATCTTAAGAAGGATTGTTGGTATGCTTTTGTTCAAACTACTTCTGAAATAATTGGTACTTTCTTATTTAAAAAATGTATTTATAAAAAAAGGAAGCCAAAAGTTTCATGCAGATTATATCAGGTGGGAAAAGAACTTTTTTACTTATGGTAATTAGAGCAAAACCTCAGAAGATACTTTCTTTTCTTTCTTTTCTGTCTTTTTGTTTCTTAAATGCGGGGCTTGAACTAGTGATCCTGAGATCAAGACCTGAGCTGAGATCAAGAGTCAGATGCTAACTGACTGAGCCACCCAGGCACTCCTCAAAAGATACTTTAATATCTTTATTTTGGAAGTGCATATTTTATCAGTGGATCTGCTCACCTCTTTCTGAGCTTAAGTTAATTTAACAATAATTTATTGAATGTTGAATTCTTGCCAGGTACTGTGCTTAGATGCTGGGAATATGATTGTCAATGAGACAGATGTTCTGTTTTTCACTGTTGTTATCTAGTAATTTTATAGATTTTAACTAAGTACTAGTTGCTGTTCACATCTCGAATTCCTCTTGATATATTTTATGTGAAAATTTATTTCCCCAATAAATTTGTATTCAGGTTTTTAAAATATATTGGAATGCCTTTTTAAAGGAGAATGAATTTAACATTAACATGCAAATTAATTTTTCAAGTGTTTGTTGCTTTCATTAATAGGTGAAGAAGGAAGTTTTAGCCATGGGTCTGTTATTGATGGAAGATTTGAAGGATTCATCCAGACTCGTGGTGGCACGTTTTATGTTGAGCCAGCAGAGAGATATATTAAAGACCGAACTCTGCCCTTTCATTCTGTCATTTATCATGAAGATGATATTAGTAAGTACTTAAATTTTATCAAGTAGCTTTTTGCAAAAAGGCATATAAATAGTTAAAAGTATGTGGAGACATACGAAGCCTGAGCTGTTTTCTTTCCTAGCTATTAATCAGGCTAGAAAATAGTTTCACAGCCAAAGTCTCAATTTAACAAATAGTAGACCTATATAAAGAGGTAATTTCCTTGTCAGTCCATGCCAGTCCTACTTTGTTGATATGATACAACCAGTTCTATTTGAACTATGAGTCAACCAACTTTGATTGAATTGGAAATTCTATATTCTGATATCAGCCAGTCATTTAATGCTATAATGCCTTGGTGTGTGTGTGGTTTTCCTTCTAATGTAAATTTCAGGGTGGATATTTGTGTACTATTATGTAGTATTTAAGAAATATTTTAGATATTTTTGTAATTCTAAATCCTTGAGTATTTCTTTTTGGAATCTTGAAATAATGATTTTACTTCAGCTTGGTAAGACTCCAGGTTTATCATGATGGATTTTGTCCTCTATCCTGGTTTTTATATGATGGTAATTTGCTGGGGGAGTTCTTTTTCTGTGTTTTAAGAGTAGAAAGTGTACTTAGACTTTACCATTGTCCATATATTCACAGTCATCCAGTCACGAGAATGCTTTACTGAAATACCACAGAAATACATTCCTCTAATTTTATAATGCCTCTTGAATACTCATATTTTATTTTTGACTATAATTAGACTAGTCTTTCATTTTTTGCCTATTTTCCTAACTTGGCTCCTTCCTTCTGGCTTCATTTTCTGTTCTACAGCCAGAAATTTATTGTCAGTAATTTCATTCTCACTCCTAATAATGTACTGGAAAGCCTAACCATTTTGGCTTTTTGCTCCATCAGCTCTGACAGTTTCCATACTTCTTCAGTCTGTCCAACTGCTTGTTATCTCTGATGCTGGATTGCTATAGAAAATAGTATAATTATTCTCGATAGGATGCATTTATGATTTTAGCTACTTGCTAACTCATAAATTTTGTTTAATGCTACTTACCTATCTCTATATATACATATTTTTAATGCTCCTTGCCCTGTTTGATTCCTTTTCCAGTTTCCCCTCCTGGTGTTTCAGATTTTTCTCAAGCTCATGCTACAGTCCTTCTTCACAAGCAGGAATATGAATTCCATTGCCTTCCTTTCTTTCTGTCAACAGAATTACTATCTACTTGATTTGTATGTTACTTTGTAATTTTTTTAGTAATTTAATCTTCTTGCAGGTTTACCTTTCCTATCAGGGTGTGTAAGTTCTCCAAATGTGGCTTCTGTTTCTTTTGCTCCTTTAACATTGCAAATATTATTTAATCTCTGGAGCAGACTCTATAGACACTTAATAAAATCTTGAAACATTTTCCTTATAATGTTTTCTCAAAATCAAACAAGACCTTATGGGAAAGGAGGGAGAGGAGGAGAGTAATGGACAGATTTTGAACTCCTGTTTTTACTTGTATTATAATCAAACTTTATCCTTTGCTTATTTATACTTCCCATAAGCACCCTATACTGTGTTTGTTCTGCCTTTTATGATTTCTGTTATTACATCTTCTCTCTCATTTCCTTCCTTCTCCTATCTACTTGTAAATAAGTTAAACATATTCTCCCTTTTTGCACTTTTATTTCTTCCTGTCCTATAATTGCATTTTTCCACTTCCCATCTTACAGTAACTTCCAAATATCTTCCTTTATGTCAGCCTTTCTTTTCCCTCAAAGATGATGAGTTAGCTTGGAGGTTCAGTGACATTGGATGTGACTAAGTTTTCTATTCCTTTTGGCATTTAACTTTACCATTGATTTCAGCTCTTATTTTTTACTTGTCCAATTAAAATGTATGTTCATTAAAAAAATGTTCATGCTAAGGAGGCCTTTTCTTGTTATTATTATTTACTTAATAATAGCTTAAAAATAGTAATGTTTAGAGTGATTTTGTTTGTAATTTTTTGCCATCCATTTGAAAATGTAAAAACTTTCCTTCGCTTGAAGGGCAAACCAAACAACTCAGTTGTTCAGCAGGCTGTAGTTTGCTTACCCCTCCCTCTTCTAGAGGATGGACAGATTACTTACTTTTTTTTTTTAATTTTATTATGTTATCTTAATCACCATACATTACATCGTTAGTTTTTGATGTGTAGTGTTCCATGATTCATTGTTTGCGTATAACACCCAGTGCTCCATTCAATACGTGCCCTCTTTAATACCCATCACCAGGCTAACCCATCCCCCC